GCCTCTGTTCATAATATCTGGCAAGCTGACATTCGCCCAACCGCCGGAGATTGGCAGCACGATCCAGAAGGGACTGCTTGAGACCATTATAGGTCCCCATGCCTAGATTGACGAGGGAAATTACCTGCTTTACGGTGTTCTCGAACTCCCTGACACGAGCCCGAACGGATGAAGAATCTGAAGAAGCAGCCTCCTGACCCGGAGCGAGCGCCACGATGGGTGGAATCTCGAGGCAGGGTTCAGCATCAGGTGTCGGAGCAGGCTTCGATTCGGAGGAAGCCGTAGGATCCTCAAATTCATCGTCGGAAATCAGAATGGGCTCGGCCGCATGCTCATCGGTAGGCGGTGCCCCTTCTTGAGCTGTATAACACAACGACAACACAGGAGAGGGTTAGACGAGAAGTACCTGCTCGGTTTACGACACTTTGGCCGAACCAAAGGATACCTGCAACGGCGACAGCCTCAGCAGCACCCGAAGAGGACGCCTCCTTCCTCTTCTTCGAGGTAACTTTTTTCACCTTCGGAGCCATTGTGAACGCAATGGAAGGAAAATTGGGACTTCACCTGAAGAAGATAAAAAGGAAACTGCAATCTCTCTTAACAAGGGGGAGGGGCTTTAAATGCCCTAACCCAAGGTAGTTAGATATAGCTTGATTGGACCGTTCAGGGTTAAACAGTCGAGAGTAAAGCCGAACAACTCAGAGTTCGTGTGAACGACCAAGATCTGGCAGTTTCTGGACACGATCTTCGACCAACGGCCCAAATCGGACGTGGAAAATGAAGAGGCCCACTACGCCATATTTAATGCGAAACGACTAACCCACATCCTATTAACCGAACGTGCGCATGGATTAGCACGTGACCCACTGAAAGCGGAACCCGCTCAGGACCAGATTCATCGTTTGGACTCCTACAAATCCGCCTGCGGACGAAATTCGCCTGCAGACGAAATAAACTTACAGCAGAAGCTCGCCGACAAGCATCCCTCGGTAGCTAAGGCTCTCTTACGGCCGAACTATGACTAATGCAAAAAAAAAAAAAAAAAGGAAAACTAATGCAAAAAAAAAAAAAAAATGGAGCACACACGCAAGTGATAGTGTCCAAGAACAAAAGGATAATTTCATTCATAAAGAGAAATCCTAGTACAACGGGGAATAAATGGCAAATTACAGAGCTCTCAGCCGTAACTCCGCCTCACGAATCTCCCTGGCATAACAAAGCTCAAGACTCCTTAGGATCTCTCGGCGAAAATCTTCCCCAGTACGCGAGACCAAGTCTTTAATGGTATCACTGGCCTGCTTAAGTGCTCGGTCCTTCTCTTCAACGGAGCCAGCGACCAATTGTCGGCGGGATTCAATACCCTCCAACTCCTTTGCCAACTATTCACGAGCCTTCTCTTGAGTGGCTAGAGAGGCTTGCGCATCAGCTATGACTTGCTTCAGCTTCGCTATCTCAGAAGACAGGCAAGAAAGGCGGTTATCGGCCTTCTATTGTTCGTAGGTCACTCGTTCATCCTCGGCCTTGACCTACTTCAACTCTGCTAACAGTCTTGCCTCCAACGACATGGTCTCGTTCAATCGTCGGTCGCGCTCTTCCACCGCTGCTCGAACTTCACCGGACGCGAGATCAACAATTTTGGAACTTTTCGCGCGAAGGGCAAGCAACTGTCGGATGGCCTCCTCCTCCTCTTTCGAACGCTAGAAGTACGGTTTAGCCGCAGTGGCGCCGAGCTTCTTGACTAGGAAGACTATGTCGTGATCCAGGTCCTCCTTGAACTCCTCGAAGGGGCAGCTCTCTTCTAACACAAACTTGTGTCTTGAAAGTTAGCCAGGGTTTGGGCCACCTTCCTTTTATGCAAATGTTCCAAGGGAGAGAGGATAGCCTCTTCTCCCACGGATGAGGTCGCACAAGAAGTAGGGGTAGTCAGACTAGCGATAAGGGCCGGCCAAGGCTGACGTACTGCCGACGGCCATCAAGGTAGTGGGCCGCGGCACCAACAGCCACCATAGACATAGGGGCAGCGGACGTCTCCCCTCGGATCGGAGACTCCTGCGCTGGGGGTCCACCCTCAACCAATGCTTACCCAAGAGCGGGGACTCCCCCTTGTCGGCCAGACATGTCTTCAGGAGCCGACACCTCTTCCTCGCTCAATAGCGCCTCATGAATCGAGACGTCATCATCCGCCTCTGATTCACCCATTTCTCCAGCCGAATGACCCTCCCAAGAAGGAGGATCCTCTGTGCCAGTAGCTTCATGGGAAGGGTCGACTGCGGATGCAAAGAAAAGATTGACAAATGCCCCTTCGGCACAGAAGGATCAACAACTCTAAAGCCTACGCTTACCTGAACCACCAAGCTCTTCTCCATCTCCAGTCCCCCCTCCTCGTCAGAAGGAATGGAGATCACTCTCTCAGCTGTACCTGCACAAATTCGACACAAATGTCAGAAGATGCAGATCCGACTTTGTACCCAAGAGTACCGCACTAAAAGATTACCTCCTAGTGCGGGCGTAGGAGTCGTTGAAACCCCCGCCTGTGGCCCCAAACCAGACGGAGGAGGAGTGTCCTTCGAAGTCGCCGGAGCCACCCCCGATACCGCAGAAGGAGTGAACTGAGCAGCTCTAGCCCCAGAGGCAGTCACTCCAGGGAGGATCACCTTGTTAGCCCTTATGTTTTGATGATGTTTTACAACCACCATTATCGGTACTAATGGCTTATTAAGTACAAATATAGTGAATTTATATATCAAGCTTGTTAGTACCACAAATGAAGGATTGGATGGAATATGCGCTACAACGATGATATCCAAAGGAGGAGGGGGCATAGTGATGAAGCAACATTATTTCAAGAACAACAAATTCAAATAGAAGCTTCATCAAATTCAAGCTATATCAAGACTCAAGCATTGTGATTCTCAGTTTCGGATCTGGATAGCGGTCGACCGGAAATTTCGTCGGTCGACCGCCAAGTTTTTCAAATGGTAACTGTGTCCTTTCTTTCGGCACCGCTCAATACAGATCTCAGCTACGTTTTGCTTCCAGATTTTGGGGGATTAAGGGATGGGTTTAAACAGCTGTTTTTCTCCTATTTAAACTCAACCTCTTCTTCTTCCTCAGTGTCCTAGCTTTTGCAAAAACCAGAGACGTTTGTTTTTACTGAGCAAAATTTTCAAACTGTTCTTTCTGTGTTTTTGTGTGTTTACTTCCCAGCTTCAGTGTGCTCTTCCTCTTTGCCATAGGGACGTTGTAAAGAGAGAGTCTTACACCATTTCTACTATCTTGTGAGTGTGATCTTGTGTAGATCAATTGTGTGGGAGTGATCTAGTGAGATCAACTGTGTAGTGTGAGATCGTGAGCGGATCGTTGTGTAGACGAAGTTCCGGCTTCCAAACCGGGCTGTGTAGTGGATTTCTCCTCGAGAGTGGGAGCGGGGACGTAGGTCAGCGGACCAAACCTCGTTAACATATCGCGCGTCACAGGATAACGATTCCTAACCCTATCTCCTCTATTTTGATTGCTTTGGTATACTGTGGTTTGCTTGTCTTAATTTTATTGCATAATTATAGCCTATTGACCCTAATCACCCTCCCTCTAGGATCCAACAATTGGTATCAGAGCATAGTCTATATATTAGTTTTTGGTTTAATCACCTTAGAGAAAAGATCTTATGGAGGCTTCAATGAATGTGCATATATTAGAAGGACAATCCACTACTAGACCACCACTCTTCACCAGGAGTAACTTTGCTTATTAGAAGGCTAGGATGAGAATTTATCTTCGTTGCATTGATCTAGACATCCTAGAGCTCATAGAAAAGAAATATGTAGAGAAGTCCAAAGTCGGGAACATGACCGATGAAGAAAGGCACCAAGCCAATCTCAATGCTAAGGCTATGAATGCCTTAATCTGTAGTCTTTCCCCCAACGAATATAATAGGGTTTCCACGTGTGCAACCGCATACGAAATATGGGTGAAATTGTGTATTACACACGAAGGAACCCCATAAGTTAAGGAATCCAAGATTAGTGGACTTATGCATGAATATGAGTTATTTCAAATGCTTCCAAATGAATCTATTGATGCTATGTTTTCTCGCTTCACTAACATTATCAATGAATTGCATGGTCTTGACAAGAAGTTGACTATTCAAGAAATAAACTACAAGATTCTTCGTTCATTGACTCCAATGTGGGAACCCAAGGCGACGGCGATAGAAGAAGCTCATGACCTTACCACTTTACCCCTCGATGGCCTCATCGGAAAGCTCAAGGTCCATGAGAAGAAGCTCAAGGGGAAGGAGAAGGAGGAAGTGCCCTTACGGGAAGTTGAGGACCCATCACCAAAATTGAAGACCATAGCTCTCAAAGGAGCTAGTGATTACTCCTCTCCGTCATCGGATAGTGAAGTGGATTTTTCTAGAGAAGTGGCTCATCTCTCTAAAAGAATCTCTAGACTCATAAAAATGAATAAGAAATTTAACCCTCGATCTAACAACAAATTTTCTTCACGTGTAGGAAAATATTTCGAATGCAATGAACCGGGCCACATCGCTAAGGATTGCCCCAAGCTCAAGGAGAAGTACATGAAGTACAAGAAGAAGAAGGTGATGTATGCCGGATGGGAAGAATCCGAACCAAGTGATTCGGATAGTAATGAAGAAGGAGCCAAACTTGCTCTTCATGATCCCAAAATTTGTTTCATGGCCCATGAACAAGAGGTAATATCCAAGACCGAAAGTGAATCTTTCTACATGCAATGTGACATAGCTACGGTTCTAGAAGAATTAAACTTTGAATTTAAGAGAATGTTAAAAGAATACTCTTCTTTTAAAAAATTGCATGCTTCTTGTGATATCAAGATAGAACAAGGATATAATCTTTTTCAAAAATAAGGGCGGTTATCCATGGTGCACGTTAGCAGGCGAATTTTTTCGTGCTAACGTGCTCCCCCGCCAAGTTTTGGCGAATTTTTTCGTGCTAACGTGCTCCCCCGCCAAGTTTTTGATGGCAAGAAAAAAGAGAAACAACAGCAAGAAGATCTTTAGCTTTGGATTAAAAGCATCAGATTTGAGCTTGCAATCATCAGAGGCTCAATCGGGTTCAAGTTTTGAAGAAGATGAAGATGGTTATGATTCTGAAATCATGGGATCAACAGGTCCAAGAGGTGAAAAATTGAAGAAATCTATGGAGGAGATACTCAAGTCTGCAAGATCTCTTGAGGTTACTGAGTCTCAAGCAAAATCACAGCAGATAGGTATCCGATCTCATCAGTTGATTTCAAGAAGTGAAAATTCTCAACAGATGAGTTCACAGATGAGATCAAGAAATGAAAAGCTGGAATCAAGAGGTGAAAAGATGCCAGAATCCATTGAGATGCTTAGTTCTGCAAATTCTCCTGTGATGCAGATGAATTCACAGCTGAGATCAAGAAATGAAAAGCTAAAGGAATCTATTGATGTTCCCAGGCCTGCAAATACTCTGGAGGTTCCTAGTTTTCTGACAACTCCTCTTTCGATCAGATCTCATCAGTCTAGTAAGTCTCTGATCTCTAATTCTAATGGAGGTAGCAGCTCTAATAGTTTTGCTTGGGCTGATGATGAAATCTTGGAGGTTGAAGATCATCTTATGTCTTCAGGTTTAGCTAACAAGAAAAGTTCAGAGCAATTAATTTCTAATCCAATTGTTAATTCTTCTTTGACTAAAATTGATGGAAATAAATCCCTAAGGAATTCTGTTGAAGGCAAATCCATGATTGATAGTGATTTTCCCCCTTTAAATCCTTCAAAATCTGGATTTCCGCCTCTAAATCCGGATCAAAATGAAAAGAAAAGCTGGACTAGTCTCTTTGCTGACAATAGAAAGGCTGGTAATGGTATGATATTGGATTTTGTTCCACCAACTTCTAAAGAAACAATTATTTTTGAGGAAGAAGAGTGGAATGAAGGAATCCATATATGGGATTTCTCTCTTATTGGCCAAGTCCTGGGAATCAGTGTCAAATTCAAAGCTATGGAGAGTTTTGTTAAGAAAGTATGGACTCCTGTAGCTAATCCTGAAATCTTGCTTCTAAAATCTGGCTTGTTCTTGTTTAAATTCAATAGCAAAGAGGAAATGGAAGAAATCATGGACAATGGTCCTTGGTTCTTTGGATCAAGACCTCTCCTACTTAAGCAATGGTCTAATGAGGAAGATGTTGAAAAGAGTTTTGAAAACAAATATCCTGTATGGATCCAATTGCCAGGTTTGAGACTAAATCTGTGGAATGCTAAAAGTCTTAGTAAAATTTCTAGTGTTATTGGCAAGCCAATCACAACAGATAAATTGACAGCTAATAGGCAAAGATTAGCCTATGCAAGGGTCCTTGTTGAAATAAATATGCCTTCATCTCTCCCAGACCATATTCTTATATAGGGGCCAAATGGAAAATTGATTAAGCAATTGGTATACTATGAGCTAAAGCCTAAATGGTGTGAAATATGCAAGCAGATTGGGCATGATACAAAGAATTGCAAGAGGCAAATTAATACACAAAGATGGGTTCCAAAAAAGGCTCCTGCAGTAAATGTTTCTGCTCAGAATGTTACTGTCAGTGCCCAACAACCTGTTCTACAAAATCAACAGAAGCCTGATCAAGATGAAACAGTCAAGGTCGTAGTGAATACCTTAGATGGAGAAAACTCTGTGCAAAATGTTCATATTAATCAAAAGGATATGTATGATACACTGAACATAGAAAAATTTTCAGCTGGAAAAGACACTGTGCATGTTGTGCACGTTTTACAGTCTGATTCTGGAGTTAATGCACATACTGGAAATCCTTGGCTGAAAAAAGCAAATGGGAAAAGGAACTCATTCTCCCCTTTGGCTGGAATGATGTGTGATCTTGATCCCTCTACAATGGATGGGGGGGACAATCTATATGAATTTATCCTTTTGGAATATTAGGGGATTAAACAAGTCCCCTAAACAACATCTGGTCAGGCAACATATTGTACAGAATCACCTCTCTTTCATTGCATTACTTGAAACAAAAATCAATAAGGTAAATTTACCAGCTATCACAAAAAAAATTGCCATCAATTGGAAATGGATATCTAATGTGACAGACACAGACAAGGCCAGAATTCTGATATTATGGGATCCTGATATATGGAATATCCAAGTTGACTTTACTTCTTCTCAGCATATTACTTGTTCTGTCAATTCTATAGATGGAAGGATAAACTGCATTATCTCTTCAATCTATGGCCTCAACCATCAGGAATCTAGGAAAATCCTATGGACAGATCTCCTTCAAATGCATCAAAAAGCTGGAAACACCCCATGGCTTCTTTGTGGGGACTTCAACACAATGATCAATGCTGATGAAAAAATAGGAGGAATAGCTCTTACTGATGCAGATACTCATGATTTCAATTCTTTCATTGATAATAGTAATCTCCTGCACCTAAAAACTCTGGGCTGTTTCTTTACCTGGAGCAACAAACAAGATCAAAACTCTAGAATCTGGTGCAGACTTGACAGGGCACTTGTAAATGAATCATGGATTGACAAATATAACTCTAGTCATGTGGAATATCTTCTGCCAACCTCCTCAGATCACTCCCCAGCTTTGATCAAAATTTATGAAGAGGAAAAGCAAGGGAAAAAACCTTTTAAGTTCTTTAATATGTGGACTAAGCACATCAGCTATCTACACACAGTTAACTCTATATGGCAACTGAAGGTAAAAGGCTACACTATGTTTTCAGTTGTTACAAAGCTTAAGCTTTTGAGAGGTGCTCTTAAGGATTTGAACAGAAAACATTTTGGCAACATCAGTGAAAAAGTCCAAAGAGCAAAGTATACACTAGAAGATGTTCAAAAAAAGCTACAGGAGGATCCCTTCAATCAAATGTTCATTAGTCAAGAAAAGAATTGCCTATCTGAATATAATAAGCTATTAAATTGTGAGCTATCCTTCTATCAGCAAAAAGCAAGGATCCATTGGAGCATAAAGGGGGATAGATGTACAAGTTATTTTCACTCCATCATTAAAAGCAATAGACATCTGAACAGAGTATCTGTACTAAATAATAGCATGGGAGAAAGACTTACTGAGGGAGGGCAAATCATTAATGAGTTCATTTCTTATTATAGGAATCTGATGGGTACTTCAGTTCCTTCATCCTCTCCAGACATTAGAATTATTCAGAATGGGCCCTGTCTAACTGAAAATCATGTCAAAAATCTGTCAGCTCCAGTCACTAAAGAAGAAATCAAAAAAGTAGTATTTTCCATGGCTGATAACAAGTCCCCTGGTCCAGATGGTTATGGTGCATCTTTCTTCAAGTATGCATGGTCAATTATAGGAGATGAAGTTACTCTTGCTATTGAAGAATTCTTCAGTTCAGGTAAATTGCTTGGGACTATAAATTCTACTGCTATCACTCTTATCCCAAAGAAGCAATGTCCAAGCACACCCTCTGACTTTGGGACTATAAATTCTACTGCTATCACTCTTATCCCAAAGAAGCAATGTCCAAGCACACCCTCTGACTTTAGACCAATATCCTGCTGCAACTTTCTATACAAAATCATATCTAAAATCCTAGCTAACAGGATTCAAGCAGTCATGGGGCATCTTATAAGTGAAGCCCAAAGTGCTTTCATTAAGGGTAGGTATATTACAAATAATATCTTACTAGCTCATGATCTGGTAAAACAATATAGCAGGAAGCATATCTCCCCAAGAACTATGATCAACATTGATATTAGAAAGGCATTTGATACAATAAGTTGGGATTTCATAAAAGAAATGCTTCAGGGTCTGGGGTTTCCAGAAATGCTGACAAACAGGATTATGACATGCATATCATCTACTAAATTCTCTATCTCTCTCAATGGTTCCCTTCATGGCTACTTTAAAGGTGCAAGAGGCTTACGACAAGGAGACCCTCTATCCCCATATTTGTTTATTTTGGGTATGGAATATCTCACAAGAAGTCTTGATCTCCTGAAGCTAGATTCTGATTTCAAATTTCATCCAAAGTGCAAGAGGCTAAATATTTCTCACCTAATTTTCGCTGATGATCTGCTATTATTCTGCAAAGGGGATCTCACTTCTGTCCAAAAACTTCATCAGTGTGTCAGCAAATTTAGTCAAGTCTCGGGGTTGGAGGCTAACCCTAGCAAGAGTGCTATCTTCTATGGTGGAGTGAATGAGTCTGTGAAGAAAGACATTCAAGATTATTTGGGGTTCACTGAAGGGAAAATGCCAATAAAATACTTAGGTGTTCCCCTAGTGTGTAAGAGGCTAAACTACATGGATTGCAATCCTCTTCTCAGCAAAATTTCAAGCCAATTCCAAAATTGCTTGAAAATTAGAAATCTATCCTATGCGGGTAGATTACAGGTGATAAAGAGTGTGATACTTGGTATGCAAATATACTGGACCTCTAGCTACATTTTACCAATTAAAGTTCTTCACAAAATAGATGAGCTTAGCAGAAAATTCCTTTGGGGGGAAAATGATCATTCATCCAAAACTTCTCTGGTTTCATGGAACACAGTTTGTACAAGTAAAATGTATGGAGGATTGGGAATTTTCTCTTCTATTATCTGGAATATGGCAGCAGAACTAAAGATTATATGGGATATTCACACAAATAAAGAGCTCCTATGGATTAAATGGATTCATGGAAATTATCTAAAATCCAGGAATATATGGCAAGTGGGAATGAAAGTTGGTGATTCCTGGACATGGAAACAACTGTTAAAAACCAGAGATAAGGCTATAGCCTCCTGTGGTGGTTTGGATAATCTTAAGAACATTATCAGGTCCTGTCATAGCTGCTCAAAAATCAAAATTTCTGACCTGTACCATGCTCTTTCCCCTGCTACAAACACTGCATATAAAGTTCCATGGAGTATCACCATATGGGGAGGTTTTAACTACCCAAAACATTCTTTCATCTCATGGTTGGCTGCTCAAGATAGGCTCCTAACCAAGGACAAATTGCTGAGGAGAGGTATAATACAATCTAATCAGTGCTGTTTATGTTCAGGATCCGAACCTGAAAGTAGAAGCCACCTGTTTTTTGATTGCTCCTATTCCAAGGATGTATGGAATGGAATCATGGATTGGCTCAACTTTAGGTGGAGAAGCTGTGATTGGAACCATCTACTGAATTGGTTCAACTCAAATTTGCGAAGTAAAGGATTCAAGCATAAAGTAAAAAGATTGGCTCTTACCTCCTCAATATACAACATTTGGATTGAACGAAATTGCAGAATCTTCAATCAGAGAGGTAGGGAAGCTGAGCCTCTTCTCAAAAGGATCAAAATTGATGTGATGACCATAGTTCTAAACAGTGAGGTTGCTGCTGAAGACAGAGAATGGTTATTATCAATGAAATAGGGTTTATGGATCTCGGCCACCAAGTTTTAGACTGATATTCATGTACAGTGTACAGGCCTTGTATTCTTTTTGTAGTTAACTCAAATTCTGAGTTTTATTTTGCGGTACCAGAATTTCCAAATGGTTATATGAATAAATTCAGTTTCATTGACCAAAAAAAAAAGATAGAACAATTAACAACCTCTCTTGCACTAAAAGATGAATTGCTAGGAGATCTCGATTTCGAGAATAAGCAATTAAGATCAAACATTGAAAGATTAGAAATTGAGGGTGGTAGGATTAGACCCACTCATGCTTATGAAAATTACAATCATCATGGTAGAAATAGATTTCATAGATTTCATGCTCATACACACAAGAGAAATTTTGTGTGCACATATTGTATGAAACATGGACACATTTCTACTCATTGTAGGATTAAAGACAACCATGATTTTTATGGAATGATATGGGTACCCAAAGGTACCAAGACTACTAACCACCAAGGACCCAAGATTTGGGTACCAAAAGTTACTACATCTTCATCTTCATCTCTTGTAGGGAACATCATGGCAACGACGTAAGGAGATGTGGTACCTTGATAGTGGTTGCTCACATCATATGACGGGCAACAAAGAGTTATTTGCAACCCTATCAAGAATTGAAGGAGGTAACGTCTCCTTCGGCGGTGGTGAGAAAGGTAAAATCATTGGTGTTGGTTCTATTGGTAAGAAACCCTCACCCGTTATAGAAGATGTTTATTTGGTAAATGGTTTAAATCATAATCTTCTTAGCATTAGCCAATTGAGTGATAACGGTTTTGATATTTCCTTTAAACCGGATAAATGCATCATTAGTATGAATGGAAAAATCGTTTTTATTGCTAATCGTAAATCTAATGTATACATTTTTGAGATGAATGAACTAGTGAATTAAGATGTAAAGTGCCTTGCGGCAATTGATGAAAACCCTTGGATTTGGCACAAGAGACTTGGACATGCTAATATGGAATTGATATCAAAATTGTCTAAGAGAAATCTTGTAAAAGGGTTACCTAGCTTGCACTTCATCAAAGATACCATATGTGAGGATTGTGCCAAAGGTAAACAAACAAAATCTTCTTTCAAATCCATCAATGAGGTATCGACTTCTAAACCTTTGTAATTACTTCATCTTGATTTGTTTGGTCCTATGCGTGTTACCTCTCTTGGAGGCAAACACTATGTCTTTGTGATTATTGATGATTTCTCTCGTTTTACATGGACAATATTTCTTGCAAATAAAAATAATTGTTTTGAAGAATTTTCTAATCATGTCAAACGAATTGAAAATGAAAAAGATTTGAAAGTTGTGAAAATTAGAAGTGATCATGGTGGTGAATTTCAAAATGAATTTTTCTATGATTTTTGTGCTCATCATGGTATAACTCACATGTTTTCCGCTCCTAGAACACCACAACAAAATGGTGTTGTTGAATGAAAAATCGCACCATACAAGAGATGACACGCACTATGTTAAATTCATTTGATTTGGCAAAATATTTTTGGGCCGAAGCCGTCAATACGGCTTGCCATGTTTTAAATCGTGTTTTGATTAGACCAAATCTTAAGAAAACTCCTTATGAACTTTTTTATGGAAAAACTCCTTTTATTGGTTATTTTCGTATCTTTGGTTGCAAATGTTTTATTTTAAATACAAAAGATCACCATGATAAATTTGATTCCAAAATTGATGTTGGTATTTTCTTGGGTTATGCACCTCGAAGTAAGGCTTATAGGGTCTTCAATAAACGAAGCCTCGTTGTTGAAGAGTCTATAAACGTTACTTTTGATGAGACTAATGTTGGTTCTCAAGTTGTTTTACCTAGGAAAGATGATGATGATGATGTTGAGGGAGGATTGGACTTTTTACAAATCAATGATACTCCCTCTATAGAAGCTCAAAAGGATATGGATAGCTCCAATGCTCATGAACAAGTTGAACTTCCTAAAGCTTGGAAATTCGTATCAAACCATCCGAAGGAACAAATTATTGGGAGCCCTTCACAAGGAGTTGTTACTCGCTCAAAAGCTTTGAGTGAGTGTGGTAATATTGCATTCGTATCTCAACTAGAACCTAAAAAGATTAATGATGCTTTAAATGATGAATTTTGGGTTTTGGCTATGCATGAAGAACTAAATAATTTTCAAAGAAATGATGTTTGGAAATTAGTTCCTAGGCCTAACAATGCTAGTGTTATTGGTACAAAATGGGTTTTTAGAAACAAACTTGATGAACATGGCATTGTTACTAGAAATAAAGCTCGTTTGGTTGCCCAAGGATACAATCAAGAGGAGGGCATAGACTATGATGAAACCTTTGCACCGGTTACAAGGTTGGAATCTATTAGGATGTTTTTGGCATTTGCTAGCTTTAAAAATTTCAAATTATTTCAAATGGATGTCAAAAGTACTTTTTTGAATGGTTTTATAGAAGAGGAAGTATTTGTTGAGCAACCCCCCGGTTTCATAGATCATGTTTTTCCTAATCATGTTTACCCGGTTCAAAAAGCTTTATATGGGTTGAAACAAGCTCCTAGAGTTTGGTATGCTCGCCTCTCTAGTTTTCTTGTTGAAAATGGTTTTTCAAAAGGAACTATTGATAACACTCTTTTTGTGAGAAAAAGGAAAAATGATTATATTTTAGTTCAAATATATGTTGATGATATCATTTTTGGTGCTACTAATGAATCTTTGTGCAATGAATTTTCTAAGGTTATGCAAGATCATTTTAAGATGAGTATGATGGGAGAGCTTACATTCTTTCTCGGGCTTCAAGTTAAGCAAACAAAGGATGTGATATAGAAAAACATGCTGTTTTAAACCCATCCCATAATCCCCCAAGTAAGTCTGAAGCAACAACGTCGCCTGAATCTGTACTGCAGCGGCCTGAAAGAAAGGACACAGTTTACCCGCTTTAAAAACTGGCGGCGACCGACGAAATTTCCGGTCGACCCATCCAGATCCGAAACTGAGAATCAAAAACAGAGACTTCATTCGGTCGACCGGCTTTGCGGTCGACCATTAAAAATAATCAGCTCTCGGTCGACCGCATCGGTTCACGATAAAACTACTCTGCTGCCACTGACGAAATTATCATACCGCCACCGACCTGTAGCGCGTCGACCAAGCGTCGACCGTCGCAGGGTCGACCGGTGCGGTCGACCGCATTCTTGCAACATTTCAGACAAACAGTTTTGACTCAACTAAAATATTAGAAAAATATTTATTTGACCTCTGAATTATAAACTTTGTAAAATTTTTAATTACTAAAAAACAAAACTGTTTGGAAAAAAAAATTTTGCAGATAGGTCTTCATACTTGTGAAAATAGTATTTTGCTGAAAAAAGTTTAAAAAAACATAAGTATGAAAACGTATGTGTGTGATATCCCAATAGCTTCAAAGTGAAGTCAATAACTCTTTGCTACATTCTAGACTAAGAAAAAAAAATAAAAGATAGGACTAATATCCTCATATACGAATGCAATGCTTGAGCTCTTGGAATAGCTTGAATGGTATGGAAGCTTCTATTGAATTTGTTGCTTTCTTGAAATAACGTTGCCTTCATCACCTATGCCTCCTCACTCCTTTGATATCCACGTTTGAAGCGCATATTCCATCCAATCCTCCATTTTGGTACTGACAAGCTTGAATATTATGAATCACTACATTTGTACTTAATAAGCTATTAGTACTGATAATGGGTTGTAAAACGAGCATCAAAACATAAGGTAACAATCTCCCGCTTTTGATATGACAACCAACCATTATATAAGAGCAAAAATAAAGACTAGCTTATAGCATAGTTCTCCACCTATTCATGAGCTCCCCCTAAGTATATGCAACCCAAATGACGGAAATTTCTTTCCCCCTATATGTCACCATCAAAAATAGGGTAAAAGAGAATGCAACAATGCCAACTAAACAAGCAACCAATGTAGAACTTTCACATATGCATAAGCCAAAACCATTCTTATGCGACAAAAATCATCCTCTCCAAGCAGCTTAGTAACATATATCCGCCTAATTGAGATTTTGGCTCAACAAAATATAGGGATACATCTGTTCTCTCTACAGTGATCGCTAAGAAAGTTGATGGCGCCATCAATATTGCTTTGTCTAGAAATGCCAAAACTGAATTTTTGAAAATATTTATTATACTAGGTTCATCACAAAAGAATTTTTATATTTGAAAATTTTAAATCCTAGTCAACTAAAGCTTGTTTCATCCATAAAACTTAAGCACAACATAAGCCGCGCGGCAATGTAGTCCGCTCCGTAGTGACAATGCAACACAATTGTTTCTGGAAGCCCACAGAAAGAAACAGTGAGTTTCCTAAGAATTGGCATGTTCACAACTCGTACTCTTGCATCTACCTTACATCCGGACAAAGTCGGCATCACAAAACCATATAAATCAAAAAGTGCTTTTTGGCGATAAAATAAACCAAGATAAAACTTCCATAACAACTTAATGCATCTTTTAACCAAAAAAATTGAGATGTTTTAGGAGATGCTTAGAAAGAACGTCCCACATGCCGACACACACTAAACAGGAGTCGCGCTACTAGCTGTGAGATAAAGAAGACTACGCTATCATACCTCGCCGCCGTATAGTTTGCGTCCACGTTTTCACCACTTTCATCTGCCTCAAGCTTTACACTTGTACTCATGCGGAGTAGGCCGCATGTTAGAGTTCTCCAATGAATTTCTTCTCCAAATTCCTTAGCATACTTCCTTTGCAGAAAATAA